TATATGAGGGTTAACCCACTGGATTTGGATTTAAATTGTCATACCCATTACTTTTAATTCAAATAAATCCTCTCAAAGTAGGTTAACCCCACAAAAAGTTCTAACGTAAACAGGGCATAAGGGTGCAAGTACATAAAAGGCTTGAAGTCAAGGCTAGGCATATTAATGTCAAGTTATAATGGATAATGACGGCAGGATTTTAGTGCGGCTCTGTACTCCCTTTATGAAATGTTACAAAATATGCCTAGCCATGACTTCAAGCTTTTTATGTACTTGCAGCTTAACGATAGCCACTTGTGCTTTTCCAGCCAAATATAAAGAAAAATGCTTTTGTACGCTTGTAAACAATATTATGAGCTGTCACTGGAATAATTTTAATAGCTATCGGACGAGTGGCTTAGAAGTGGCAGCAGTCTGAAGTTGGTTGCAGTTTTTTATCTCACCCTGTATATTAACGTTTTCGTATAACCCCTCTATTTCTGAACACCTCATTTTATGTATTTTCCAACAGATACTAGAATTTGTAGTTTAAAATAAAATTCATTTGAATATTAAATGCAGCTACTTTTATTTTTAAAGGTTTTCCGTACCTCATGGTAGAGGGTATTAAGAGTTCGGTCCGGCCAAACTTAACGCTTTCTTACTTGTTCATGGTAAATTGATTCCGATTGTACTGCATGTTCAATTGGTGGGTGAATGAATACTTGAGTGATTTTTGTTGTGGTAAATTGGGCAATTGAAATCTAAACGGTGCACATACATATTTATAGGTGTACGAAGAAGTGAAGATATGCCATAGTATCAATTGTGTTCACATGAATCTTTGATAAACAAAATTTAAGGAATACATTCGTTTATTGCCACTACGGTTCATCGTTTAGAACAGCGAGACAATGATTATATTAGATTATATTAAAAGGAAGCTCCTGTTGGAACACCGAGATGAAACTCGTCTTACAATAGCGAAATTATACTCTTGTTGGAATAGAGATACAAAGTTCTTCGGTCAGTATTTCCGGACCCACAACTTAGAACCAAATCCATCTTTTTGTTAGATCTCAAATTTGTACACATAATATATTTGTATTAGTATTGGTATGTATAACGTACCATAAAGCTTCGCCTCGGTGCTTTATAAAGCTTTACGGATATTGTGAATTGTAATGAAGCTACTATTCCCATTATACTTAATGTCGATAGAAAATCAACATAATGTACCGTACAAGCAAAGTTTTAAGAAATGTAAAGCGTATATGTTCATTTACGCATATTATGGCAACTTGCGAGTTAATAAGTCGATAACAGGGTAATCGATTGATTAAACTATTTCTAATACTATAATCTTTTAATAATAGTAAGAATAAAAAATTACAGTTGAAGTCACATTTTCCTCGAAAAAACTACAAGATTTTTCTCTTGTGTACTCATTTCTTGAAACCATTACCATAACCCATTCATCGTTTTCCAAAAAAAAAAACACACACAAATATATCAAATGTTTTTTGTTAATTGTTTTTTATTCATATTTAAAATAAATTAGCAAATGTATAAAATTTTAGCTGTTGGCAAAAATTAAACTAAGTTGTATTATCTACTGATAGTAAAGTTCCAAGTTCATTCCGTCATGAATTTCATCTGAAAATACAAAAATATGTGATTAAATTTAATAAGCATAAACTTCAACAAAAGAGGTAATAGAAAGCATAAAACGATTTTCTAATAAATAATAATTATTAACAATTGGGAAGGTAGCAAAAGAAGTGGGTCAATGAATTCACATTAGATCTCTGGTTGGTTCGCATGTTATGAGAGTTATAATCATTCAAAATGTTTACTCTTTGTATGAAACTATCAGAAGGAGTAATGCCATTTATTACATCTCCACATTTGATCATGTGCAGGTCAACATATTATCGGGTGTTCATTTCACATTTTATGAGCGTTATGGTTATTCAAAAATTTGTAAAATTTCTATTTGTTCTTCATCCTAGATGTTGAGATGTGCAAAATTTTAACACTTTGATTTCTACAATTTATAAGAGTGATGATTATTCCAAATTGTGTGGACCGATATTGAACATTTTCACACTTAACCTAGTACAGCTACAAATATTAGGTTTTACAAAGTTGTAGCAAATTAGTATGATGCATTCTCTTTCATTATTTTCATTATTATTTTCGGCTTAAATTGAGTTTAGCAACAAATTGAGTTTAGCTCCATCTGTCCGAAATTTTTACCGAAGGTAGGTCTTGTTATCGCAATCACGGTGATATACATTGTTTGGGGGAAATTAACACTTCCCACTTCCACATTAGATCATGTGCAGGTCAACATATTATCGGGTGTTCATTTCACATTTTATGAGCGTTATGGTTATTCAAAATTTGTAAAATTTCTATTTGTTCTTCATCTTAGATGTTGAGATGTGCAAAATTTTAACACTTTGATTTCTACAATTTATAAGAGTGATGATTATTCCAAATTGTGTGGACCGATATTGAACATTTTCACACCTAACCTAGTACAGCTACAAATATTAGGTTTTACAAAGTTGTAGCAAATTAGTATGATGCATTCTCTTTCATTATTTTCATTATTATTTTCGGCTTAAATTGAGTTTAGCAACAAATTGAGTTTAGCTCCATCTGTCCGAAATTTTTACCGAAGGTAGGTCTTGTTATCGCAATCACGGTGATATACATTGTTTGGGGGAAATTAACACTTCCCGAGATATAGGGTTCCAAAATTCCAATAATACACATTTTTACTTTGCTATTTCAAAGTCAACAGTCAAAAAGAGAACTGCAAAATGTCACTCATGTCGCCGTGATTAGGATAACAAGACCCATATTCGGTAAAAATTTCAGAATTTTCCGTCAGCTCGAACTAAACTCAATTTAGTCCTTATTTTCTTTGAGAATGTTACCTTCTGCGTGGAAGGTACCAGAAGGAGTGGAAATATTACAATGTATTTTCGAGAGTTATTGTGCGCACCTGCCAGTCAGACGAATTTGGTCTAAAGAGATCTAGGGTCTAAAACCGTTATTTCCATGATATGACGTTCGAACAACGAAGCAAGTTGAGTTTAGGGACAATGCTCAAATAGCTTAAATATAGTTACCACAAGTAGGATTTTTTCCTCGATTGTAGAATATAATTTTTCTTGAAGAAATAAGTGGTTATTTAACTGAAGAGATCGGATACAAAATACAGGCAATATCCGTTTCGACTAAACCGGTAACTGGACGTCATATGAATCAATATGAGCTGAGCAAATTTTGTTATACTTTTGGAGTTTGCCCTTAGGTCAAATCCTACAAATCCCGGCTAAAGACTGACCACTAACAAATACTTTCGTTGCGAAGCGAAAATCGGAAATGTGACTTTCACTTGAAAATAACTTGTTCCATTGTATCGGGACCACAGGGGCTTAAAAATGACACACATATGGATTTGGTAGGATGACCTGTTCCATTTGAACTATGTATCGAGAGGGTAATTCTAACACACATAAAACATACTCTTATTATAATGCATACGAATTATTGCAAATATACTACCGCACTTACAATCTGATAGCTTTATGCTGTCCTTGTAAATTGTGTACCATTTCTTCAAAACAATTTTATCATATTTTGTGCCGGTTTGGGCAGCTATCAACTTCTTGAGGTCACCAATTGTGTCGTCTGGATTACATTTCACACGAACCTATAAATGTAACACATTGCAGTTTTTAAAATGAACAAAATATTTGAGGAATATACCAACCTTCTTGCCCAAACGATCATTGCAAGTAATTTCAATCATTTTAGAATTATAATCTCAGCTTCCTCGGTAGTTTGCAATTGCAAATAATTTTCTAGAAATTCCTGCTCCTGAAGAAATGTTCCACAAGCACAATGTTGTGTTTATTATGAATTATAGTATCGATTTTTGTTTATCGATTATGCGATGACCAAATACTCGATATGTAGAAGTGACCAATTGTTGCAAAATGTTATAGCATGTTTCCATTGGAAACCGAACAACGTTGTTCGCTCTCAGAATTATGTACACGAATTAACCCGTTCATACGGCACGATTCGTAATTCATAGTAAAATAATTCCTTTTTTCAAAAATTTTGTTTGTTGATTTTAATGGGAATTTATACGAAAATACATAAAATTCTCACTAATATGAATAGAAGAAATGATTGTTTTTCTCCCAAAGATTTATTATATCATTAATTTTATAGTTTTCATTCACGTTTTCAACTTTTTGTGTAAATGTTGACATTTTGAACATATTTTTGTATTTTTTTATTTTTAAATTTTGCTGGAGAGACACTTGTCAAACATTTTTTCTGCCGATACAAAGTTTTTGAAAATATTGCCTCTTTTGTTTGCAGTTTTCTGTGGAAATTTCAGCTCGTGGATAAAATGCGTACCTCGAATGAGAGAGAAAACAAAATGTACTTTCGTTTGAATGTACATACGCCATTCAACATTGTAGTTTTCATTCATAATTTTCAGTCTTCCCAAAAATTTTTAAAATTTCATTAAATTTTTCTATTTTTAATTTTTAAATGTCATAATTTATTTTTTCGATAAATGTTGTCATTTGTTAGGGATGGGACATATTTTTTCGTTGTTCTGAGAGTGATTTGATTTGAACAACGTACAAATATGAGTGTTCGCTCAGGAAATTTTGTGTGAAGAATAATGTAGTTTTTTCATAGTTAAGGGTCAAACAACGAATAGAGAGCGAATCAAGTGCAGTGGAAACGCCACATTACGCTCAAATCAGAATGAAAAAGTTACAGTATGCCACGCATCCATTTATCCATATTATCCATATATTTAAATATGTATAAAACACTAAAACTTTGCTCCAAGATCCTATTAAACAGCATATCTTTTTAAATTATTGAAGTTAAAAAACTTAATTATGAAATAATTTATATATCCCTAATTTATTAGATTTCCGATAAATATTCAGTGTTGGTAAACGTAGAAGCAACTTCTCTCTAACCAACACTGTTAGCCAAAAATTGTTTACATGCCAATCATTGTCTCGGGGAAATAATTTTGTTTTTAAAGTTAAATTATATTTAATAATACATTTAACATCATGTCAATGCTACCATTTTTCCCTTCTCTTCGACCACCAATTGCCAATCGAATATGGTTCGACAGTGCCGCAAATGAAGAGGCAGAAGTTTTGAAATATGAAAGGGAACATCATAGCTGGGTAAGATTTTCCTGCAATTTAAATGATGGTTCAACCAATGAATGGTTTAATGAAAGTAAATTGGTCCATGTCTAGTCAAACTCGGTGTAGGAAAATATATATTTCGAAAAATATGAACCCATCTAAAGCAAATGTGGCAAAATACAAAAATGGGAAAAAACATTTCTCTAGGGATATCTAGAGGAAAATATGTATAGCATAGGTATACTATTTATTGTAAAATGATTTCTTCACCACTCATTCTGGTATCAGTTTACAACTTTGGAAAATTTTCATTCCATGTTAATATAGAAATGAAACATGGCGATTGGCTTGGTTGAAGGGTACCAAGCCGAAACGGCAGCCACTTCACTTGGGGACCATAGATATATTGCGGTATTCCTGGGAACCCAGGAAAGCCTTTAAGATAGAAAAGTGGGAGATATGCAAAACAAAGAAAGGGGTTAAATAATGTCAGACAGAAAATGTATTCTCATCCAGTTTCATCCTTACAAAGGTTATTATCATGACTTCTGTTATCCTAACTGTTGATTGAATGATTGAAGGTTACACATCTAATTTAGCAATGGGCTGTAATATTGTTAACTAATCTGCAGTTCTGGACTTGAGATGGTCTTTTGTGGTTTGCTTCAAATTGGCTCGCGGCCTTACTCGGAAGAGCTCTAATAATCAGGCTGAAATAAATATAGGATGTAAAAATTGTCATTCCACGTAGAAAATACTAACCATCATAAACACAGTCAGCCCTAAGAACAGTATAAACCAAGAGGAACTTAAAGTTAAGCTGGGAAAGGTATTTTAAGCTCATGTCGATCGCTATTTGGGTCTAACTAGCTCTATGAGGGTTTTTCATTCGTGTTGTAATTTAAAAGAAAGTTTTTTTAGAGTTTCTGGGTTAGCGAGCTTCGCAAAACCCCAATCAAAAACACAAACCAATTTAGAATGCTTAATGTTTATAATATTCTTATCAATTTCATTTCAGTTAGATGCTATAAAAAATGCTGCAGTTAACGTACATCCTTTGGGGAAAGTGCTAACGATGCCAGGTCTTGAAACTGATGACGAAGACGGTACAAAACCTGAAGTAAAAAATTCCTCCAGTTTTTATAAAATTTGTTTTGTTTGCAGCAAATGATGATAGCGACGATTCTGAGGATACTAACGAGGATGACGACACCAATGATCGTGCTATTGGTATGCCGGAACGATCAGCGCTTGGTGGTTTATATTCACCTGGCGAAGAGATGAACATAAACAATGATGAAGTACCAATTATTCCCGGTGGAGGATCTCAGTAAACAAGTTGTTTTTTAAGTGCGGAATTAAAATTAGTTTTTAATCTACCTATAATTTAATTATCTCTATATTTTGTTTCATTAATAAAGTAAACAATGTCGATTTTTTCTTTGCTTTAAATGCAATTTTTGTAACTACTTGCTTTCAATCTTATTGCCAATTACCCATAATAAAAGAAGAAGCAATTGGAAAACTAGTAAAAAGCAGTAAGTTCGGTGGGACCGAACTTTGGAAACCCTCCACCATTTGCAACGAATAAGGAAATTTTCGAAAAAAATATTTCCATTAAAAATTCTGTTAAAATCTTTAAAATACCGAATATCGGGAGGTACCGTTATATGGGGGCTATATGATATCGTGAACCTATACAAAAAATCTCTTTTAGGGGGTAAAATACCCACAAGGAACTCCTTGTGTGGAATTTCAGACAATTCCATTGAAATATGTGGCTTAAATCATCTAAATACCGAAAATCGGCGGTACCGTTATATGGATATATGCGATATCGTGAACCGATATAGCCCATCTTCGAACTTGACCTGCCTGCAGGCAAAAGACAGATCGGTGGCGAATTTTACCTTCCCATCTTAATTCGTTTTGACGGGCGGATAGGGCTAAATCGTCTTAGATTTTTACGGTCATCAAGAATATATATACTTTGTTGGAAATTATTTATTATTTGAAATTATTATTTCGATGAGTTGCAAACGGAATGACGAACTTAAGAAACCCTCCATACTATGTATGGTGGAGGGTACAAAAATATCTTTAAGCACAAATAGAGATTTCATTCATTCACAATCAAAAACGGCAGAAATAAACAACACAAAAGTAATTACTATTTTTAATTTTAACTTTTATTTATTTGTTTCTTAAAATTGTAATTAATAAATCATATTTATACGCTAAGATTAAGAAAAAAATATATTTTCAACTGCCTGTTTATCTTTGCATATACTAAATATTATTTGCAAAAAAAATATAGAAATGAAATTCAAAAAAAAAAATACCTCAGATATACATTTTGTGATATATGTAGTTGTAGTTGGTCGTAAGGTTGGAATAACAGATACGCAATGATGTTTGGTTGAGTTATCTTCAATACATCTACGCAGCAAGATGCACTATAGCCGCCTTAGGAATAGACACAATTATTCCAAATTGAAAAATAATAAGGGGGGTTGGAAACAGATAGTCTTGGGATGATAAAAAAATAAAAAGTATCCGTGTGCACTTGTACATAATTCAAGTACAAAATCATATTGACACCTTCTCTTATACAATTAAAAGGTTATTTTCCAAGGTGAAAATAAGCATTTCAATATATGTATGGATATGTTCATAAACATAAAGAATATATTGGGAGGAAGCGCCAAACAAATTGTTTTGCTCAGTTTTTTGGTGGGAGAGATAGATAATGGGGATGAGGGATTGATTTTCCTTAAAATTGTTGTTTTGTTTTTTACATAAAACAAAATGTGTGATTTCTCTGTTCAAAAAACACAATATACAATTGCTAAACTTTAATGGCGGTCACGAGAATCCGATCTGCTGCGTCTGTCACGTGAAAAACTGCGGGAACGGCTGCGTGTCCTTCTGGGCGAACGAGATCTAGAAAGTAAATTACAACGACAAAAAGAGACAGGAAGAAATTTGGATAAATAAATGCTATAACAGAATGGTTCTACTTGGTAAAACTGAAAAGTAATTACATTTCTACACCTTTGCCATAAATTACACATTGCAACAGTTTTCCATTAAGCCATAGGCTTTCATTATTTTTCAAGAAGTTGAAATTGCATTTCTCGAAGGTTGCTCTATTTGCTGAGCAAAACTAGTTGCAATGTGTAATTTGTTATGAAGCAAAAATAAATAACTTTTTAAATAATAAATACAAAAACACAAACATAAATTTTCTAACAAAAAATATAAACGTCCACTTTTCATCAGATGTTTACTATTAAAAAAATTAAAAACAAACCACAATATGTTGCACTTATTGTTGGGCGGATTATTTTTGTTGCTGATTACGATTTTTGTATGGCTGAGGAGGTTGATTTGTTGGTTGGTTGGTTGTTTACTTGTAAGAATGGTTGGTTGTTGAAATTTGGAAAAGTTGTGGCAGTGAGAAGTTGTCTTTTTAATTTTTTTTTGGTCTAAAAATGATGCCGATTATTGCAAGAGTTTTGGACTTGTTGCTGATTGAGAAACGATTGTTGACTGATAGGTGGTGTTGGTTGGTTGATCTGATTGATTAAATGATGATTGTTGTTGGTATCGGTAGGTACTCTAAGAGTTATGGAGACTAATTCAATGATGGCACGCTTCTGAGGTACGACGATGTATCATCACGAGGAAAATTCATTAAATTTTTGCTGAACAGAGTTGGTTTGGTGGATGGAATAGTAGCAGATGTTTAGTGGTGCAAATTTCTACATAACAAAATGATGGCCTTTGAAGATGCTGCTTTAGTAGTTGCTGATTACAATACAAAGAACAAAGGCTGTTGCTTTCTAAAATAAAAACAAGGACAAACTTCAAAAATTCATATTTTTGAAATTTTGAAATAATCTTGATGAAGGCAGCATTGTTGATAGGCGACAAGGAGATGAGGGAGGCTGTCTGTTGATGGTGGCCACGGTCACTGGTCTTTTCCAATTCACATAAAACATGGTTTAGTTGCATTGAGTTAATCACCGCCGCCCATTATGCGTACCACGCGACGACTGACCCCAAACTGTTGATTGACCGATCGACCAACTTTTTCCCGACAGATTTACAACAATGTAGCAGTATTACCACTGAAGATGTTGTTTTGTTGTTGATGTTGTCTGTTGTCTTAACGAAAGTTGCATATAGGTTGAACTCATTAAAAAAAATAAAAAAAAAAATTGAGAGTAGATTAAACAAGTATTAGAACAATTGAAAAATCGTCACTACTACTATTTTGCTTCTAAAAAAGAGTAGGTATTTTACCGCTTTCAAGACGACATTGGTTTGTTAACAATATTAGAGAAATATCATAAGTATAAATAACATCATACTATACCCATATTTCAGTTGTAGGTGAATTTCGATGAAACGTCAATGATGTTTTGTTGTTATTGATGGCCAACCAAACTGTCTGTGACTTGTTTTAAAGATGTTCCGCATATTTATCGTCCCAAATTTAATTTGTTTTAATGACGTTACAAACAAAGAATTTCCTACTCAATTAATATAATTTCTTAAAAGTTCTTCTTAGTATTCATTTATGCCGCGAAAAAAACCGACCATTTATAAGTACATATCGTATGTAAAAATTCGCAATTTCTCTACAATTATTCCCGTTTGTTACAGAATCAATGACCCAATTTGAAACCCTTCTTAAAGACAGATTCATTTATCTGTTAAGAATTTGGAAAACGCTTGACTATTAATTTTTATTTCATAGTTTTATCGCGGTTTCTCGGAGCCTACCCGCCCCCTGGAGGTTTCGAAATGCGCATTTGTCTAATTCAGAAAGTGATAGGGACGGACATTCTTTTCGATTTGTCAAGAAATTTAAATGATGCCATAATTCGTAATTGTTATCAGCAATAGCGACATTTTTGAGATGATGATTGTGGGTGGGTGGTGGTTAGTTGTTGTGATTGCTGATTTGAAGAATTTAACGTTGCTGCTACCTCTATTCAAACCTGTTGGTAAAATATTGCTCAAAGAGACAAGAAAATAGAATTTAGCCAAAAACAAATAATGCAGCTACATAAACTGATGATTACCAGTATTTTTACAACAATAACCAAATGCACTGCGTTGCGTTGCAGTAGGTTTTTTGAAGATATTCAAATCGAACAAGCTGCAGGAGAACTAGTTCATCAAGCTGATTCAATAAAGTGGTCGTGGTGGTGGTGGTGGTTAAGTTGGTGGTGGTGGTGATAGTGGTAAGTTTGGAGGTAGTGTTGTTAATATATCATTTTCTACTGTCAAAGAAGGGGACGAATATAAAGTTGATGTTGGCTGGGATAAGCACTGAGGAGGAGATCGTTGGCTGAATTGGGCAATACAATAACTGTCGTTTTCTTGGTGACTGTTGTGATGTTTTAGTAGAAGTAGTAGTAGTAGTAGCTGTGGTGTTGATGGTGCTAATAATGACGACGACGCCTCTGTAGCAGAAGTAGTAGAAACATTGTTGCAATTTCTTGTCGTCGTTGTTGCTGTTGATGATGTAGAAGGAGTAGTAGTAGTAGTAGTGGAAGATCGGAATTTTCTCATCAACGTTGAAGGCATTGACGCTGTTGAGGACGCCAGTATACAACAAAATCGTTGTGGAAGATGACTACTACAACAACTGCAGAGATGTTTATGGTAGTGGTGGTGTTGCTGTTGTTGATTGTGGTGGTTGAGGTGGTTGTGGTTGTGATTTGATTGGTGGTGATGGTTGAGATTTTGATGAATTTGTTTACAAAGGACGACGACGACAACAACAGCTACTGTCAATAAACAACTCAGCGATTTGGTTGTTCTTGTAATAGTTGGTCGTACTGTATTTTTTCCATGTATTCTGTGGGTCGTGTCAAGTTCCTGAATTAGTCCAAATAAAAATTTGTGTACTTTAAATGTCAAACTATAAGTCCGAACTTTGTTGGGGTTTGTGAATGTGTTGGCTATCAAACGATTTGTAATGATGAAGTGTAATGTTGTTGTTGACTGTGTTGGAAGTTCTGTTGTTGTTATTGATGTTGTTGTGTTGATTATAATGTCGTTTCTTGTTGTCTTGCTGAGATCGCTGTAGTCGTCGTTGTTGTTGTTGTTGAAGTTGTTGGTTGATTTTTTGTAGTAGAAATTGGAAGAGGAGTAGTTGGTAGTAGTAACAGATGTACTTGAGGTACAACAAATAGTGGAGGTAGTAGTAGTAGTAGTAGCTGAAGCAGAAGACGACTTTATATTCCTGTAAAAATGAGGAGCGTATACCACGTTTAAAAAATTTTTAACAAAAAAGAACTAAGAATATTAAAAAAAAAACAATTTTTTCTATGTGAACAAAAGTACAAACAAGGGATATGTGTGTAATAAAAAAACAAATATTTTTGTCAAGTTGTAATATTCGAGAAGGGAGACGCATTCATAGTACACGTGTAAAAACATTGACATACACAAATATAACACAAACAACGAGCCATTGTGGTTAAAAAAAATGAACGGAAATTGTATTCTGTGTAAAAATATTTACACCATTGCCAAAAACAATACAAGGTATCTTTAGACATACTGTTTATACAGTCGTAGATACCGTCAAGTCATTAATGACGCAGTGTCAGTGGAAGATAAACATGCAAATGACATGAAAAATAAATTATACAAAATAATAAGCTTCTTAGGAATCGATATATATTAAAATGAAAATCCCCAGTCTAATAATTAACTTAAATGCGATCTCTGAAGATACTTATTTTCACTTATATTGTTTTGTCCGATCAATGACTATGGTTCGATGTAAATACATGAATGTAAAATAAAATTTTTGTTGAAAATTGTAAGTCACATATTGCCTTTGAATAGGAAATACATTGATTCTTAGTATATACGTTCCGTGTATACAAATATTTTTTTGAACAATAAACTACTGCGCATGTTCAGGACAATCAGATGAAGCAACTTTTCTACTATTTGAAATGATTGACCTTAAAAGCTTATTATTTTGCATATAAAGGGAAATGTTTAAATTCGTTAAAATGGGAGATATTGAGGTGCACATATAGATATGGACGCCAGCTTAAGGTATGGGGTCTTATTTTCGTTGTTTTTTCCACTTCAGATTTAGCCAACATAATTATAACAAAGAAATTGCTAAGACGGCGACCCATATCTTCAACAATTATACATGGATACAAATAAAATACTTTCATATAGTACACCGAATTGTTGGAAAAGTTTTGAAACTTACCTATAACGAGCACTGCCACCACCTGCTCCGCGGGCACTGGCAGATTCGCTAGCACCTCCACGGCCTCCGCCTCCTCCACTGTTTCCGCCACGACGTCTACTATCACGTCGTGAACGTCCGGAGGACATTTCGACACGAATGCGGGTTCCACAGCAGCGTCTGTGAGAACATTTTCGTTAATTATATGCAATCAAATACCATATAATACTCAATACTTACGTTCCATCCAAAGCACGGGTTGCATCTTCAGCATCTCGTCTGTCTTCAAATTCAACAAACGCAAATCCGGGTGGGTTACGTGCCACCCAAACATTACGTAGTGGGCCATATTTGCTAAATGCATTTTCTATTTCATATTTTGATGCAGATGAGCCCAAGTTTCCCACATATACTTTGCAAGCCAAATCCCATTCACGATAGCGTGGCATATTTAATTACTAGTATTTATAACTGTCAAAGGGAAAGAAATATAAATTGTGGTTATTAACGATAATAATTGCCTAACTTTTCATATTTACGTATTAAGTTTTTAAAAGAAATTACGCACACACACAAACTTGTGTTTTCTTGCCAGCAGAAAAATTTTGTCAAGATGGCGACCATTTTGTCAAATTGGTAGGTATACAGAATTTCCTCCCAACTGATTTGCATAATTTCACTGTTTTTGCTAAAATTAAGAAATTTCTATAAAACAAAAAGTACTTACCTTAATTTAACTTCAAACTTGATATAATTTATTTAAATATATAAATATTTTATTTTATATATTACACCTTCGGCTAGAAACGACACACTTTCGAGAACACACCTCTTCAGCACGAACAATTTTTTATAAATGAAATGAAACAGGGCTCGATAATCGATTTTGGCCTGACGGAAAGTTGGCAAGACTTATTATTTTAGTTGGCAACACGTTCCGATGGAAGACCATGACATTCTAATAGCATGTTCACATACCAAATTTCAGGCGTTGTTAACACTTATAATTAATCAATCGCCACTTTGATTAATTTGATTGCCACACAAAAAAGCGTTTTATGTATTCATCTTTAAGCTGAAGATACATAAATGGTCTGTTCCAGTTTCTACCCTTAGGCTGGAAATACATAAAGAGCATATTTGGCTGGCTTAAGTCATCGGCTGGCTTCTTCGTAGATGAACAAAGGAGTTTTAGGTTGACTTAGTTCGATTTTGGCCCTGGGCTCCTTTGTTCATTTCCGAAGAAGCCAGCCGAAAACTTAAGCCAGCCAGATAAGCGCTTTATGTATTTCCAGCTTACAGTACGTTTATATATAAATGGGTTAACCGACTGGATTTGGATTAAAATTGTCATATCCATTATTTATACTTCAAATAAATCCTCTCAAAGTAGGTTAACCTTACAAAAAGTTCTAACGTAATCATAGCAGTAAAGCTCCATGGTTGTGCTTTTTAAGATTAAATTATTCTGCCCTATCTTGTAATTAGTGTACCATAGTTTTACTATTATCCATGGTATAAGAATACAGGTAGTCGCGTCGACACAGCTGCTGGGACAATGAACTGTCAAACCAATTTTGACATTGAAAATATTAAATGAAAAATTAGTGAAATTTGTAAAAATTTTTGAAAAATGCATATCAGAACAACCTCAGATATGCGTCGTGTAAGAAAACTTATAAAAATCTACTTATTTTTGTCAAAACATTTTAAAATTTTTGACATATCAATGTTCCCAAGCGTTGATGCATCTACCTGTATTCTTCTGCCATGCTATTATCTGAACACGTACGTCACAGAAACAATTTTAGATGTTTCGACAATTAATACAATATGTGCTTTGTTCCAGAACAAGCATGAATCTACTATTTTTGCAATTTTTTCGATATCATAAAGGGAAAATCGGTTAACGTTGTTTTACATTCTAGCAGTTCTGGAACAGACCCATGGTTCTTATCCTGCCTTTCATAAAAGCAAAGTTACTCGAAAAACAAGTAAAAAGCGGTCCAGACCGAACTTTGAATACCCATTTGGAAAAAATTGGAAGTTTTCAAAAAAAGATCTATTAATATCTTAAAAAATATAGCCGTTATATTAGGGTATATACGACGACGTGGTATTTGAAGCCTATGCAAGTAACTTTTGTCATAAGCCATTACAATATTTAAATACTAAAATTCCGGTAATTAATACAGCTAAAATCATCATAGGGAGGCACCGAATATAGGGAGGTACCATTATATGGTGGCTATACCAAAACATGGACCTGCACAGACAATTTGTGTCATATGCTGCCGTAATCATTATGAACTTCAAATATCAAATTTAAAACAATTCCGATGAATAATGTGGCTAAAAATATCAAAATACCATATATCGGGAGGTACCGTTACATGAGGGCTATACGAAGACGTTGACCTGCATAAGCAACTTTTCTGTCTGGGCTGTAATATCCATTACGAACTTCAAATACCAAATTTGAAACAATTCTGGTGAATAATGTCGTTTAAATCATCAAAATAAAGTAGCACGATTATATGGCGGCTATACCAAAACGTGGACCTACATGGAGAAAGCTCGTGTGCCATGATTGCAGCATGAGAAATAGGATGGCAAAAGAATACTGGTATTTGCATTGACACAGGTGCTGGGACAATGAACTTTCAAATAAATTTTGGAACCGAAATTTTTGAATGAAATACGTTGTGTAGGAATACACATACAAAACTACATATTTTCAAGAAATATCTAAAAAAGTTTAACATATCAATGTGCTCAAGCGTTGATGCATCTACCTGTACCAATGGTACAATAAGGAGGTAGAAAAGCTTTGTAAAACTACAGAAATATAGCCCTGAAGCTATGCCTGCTTTCTGTCAGACTAATTCAAAATTTTATGAAACAAGTTGTTTTTATTTTTTTCATACTTTTCCTCGAATTTTAAGTCAAATAGCGTAAACAATGAATGAAATGACCGGATTCTTTTCTCAAAAACATGATCCAAACCGTTCAATCTTTAATTTCATGGCTAAACTGGTTAATAGATTTAATGCGCGGGTCGCATTGTACATGTCTTCCAATAATTGGTTTTGAAAATATTTTTTTTTCATTTTCAAAACAATAAATACATACACAAAATTGGCAGAAGTCAGGTACACTTAGAAAAAAATTGTAAACAGCTAATGGCTCTACCTTACCTTTTTTTGTACCATGCCTGTAGTAATAAAATAGAAGACGACAAAAGTTCAAAAATGTGTACGCTACTTTGAACAGGCATCTGTCATGATCGGAACAATCGATTGTTTTCTCATAATCGAGTTGCATTTTGGGAGCTGCTGTCAAAAGTCAACTTACATATCCCTAATTTTTGTCTTGTCTTTCCGTGGTGTTTTACGTGGATATTTCTGTCGTTTTCTTTTTTAAGTTTTATTAGAAAAGTAATAGTTTTGACTTTTTCCCGAAATTTTATGAAATATAAAGTGACAAGGGTTAAAGTACAAACATTAATAATTCCATTCAACCAAATACACGGAATACACACTCCATATTGACATACAAGCGAAAGTTCCGCAATTGGATAGACTGACCAGTTAAAAATCCAGGATTGTTGATCGGTATTAATAGCTAGAGGAAGATAACACAACTATGAACATCCCAAACGAATATATTGCAAAAACAGAGGATGTGGCGGATCAGGTAAGGAATAAATATTATGCCTTTGGATGTTAGTAGAAGACAATAACATACGTTGACAAAAATTGCCAAAAAAAAAAAAAAACATAGTGGTCATTTGTTTGACAATATTCACTCTCTTAATGGCGTAAAAAGACGGTTAAGAGAACAACATAAGGGAGACCTGACAAATAGGCGAGCTGTAGTAAATACGAATGAAAAAACTGTCAACGTCATCCAGTCGTGTGCCTTCCGACTGAGACATGGTTTACTGTTTAATTTTATGTTAATATTAAGATTATTAAAAAAAAAATCATGATGTACTTAAGTTCAAGTGCTAGAAGAAATGTAAAATGTTTAGTATTTCGTAATTATTTATTTGAATTCTGTAGCCCTTTCTGTGGGACAAAGATAATTTAAATGTGTTTTCTTGTAATGGCATAGTTTATTTCCCCATAATATTCCAAAAACAATTACTGCTAATCATTCCGAAGAATAATGTTTATATCGCAACGGTAATCTCTTTCTATTTTGGAACCAACATCCCAATTGTGTGTATTCAAATGCACTTTGTATAATCAAATACAAATAACAAAAGTACACACTTTCCTCTGGCTTTCATGTTTGTTGTTGTTGTCTTCATGTTGTTGCGTATTGGAAATCTCTTACCCCTCCATTCGACCATTTGTTGCTTCAAGTTAATGTAAAGTTTTTTGGTGACCATGTTTTTCTATGTCGTTATTACCTAACTGTAACAAAGTGAAATTAAAAGCGTTCATCATTTACCTTTTCTTTACTTTCGATTAGTTTCTAAAGCGTTACGGAACCAGTTCGAAGACATTGTGTTGAATTATAATTCATTCAATGCTGTTGAGACGTGCTTTTCGTGGCAGGTCTATTTCAAGTTGTGCTTCGAAGTGAATTGAAAACTGATGCATTTTCAAGGTCAATTGAAAAATGATTTTTCACCCTTTGAAATTGGAGATTACCCATTTATTTCTAAAATCATATGCAAAGCCATGGATTTATTCTAAAAAATCATTATCTTAATTAATTTTACAATCCTAAATTTTGAATACTTTAATTTTCAATTTAATCCAAGTCATTTAGCTAATGGGAGCGAATTTAAATTCTTATAAATGATAAATTATATAAATTCGGCAGTTCACCACTTTCGGCCAAGCGAAGCAACTCTTTAGCTCTTTTGAGTCTATTTTCTATCTGTTGCACTTTTTGGAATTTCAATGGCTTTACATCGAGCTCATTTTTTAATGTTTGCCGAATGGAGTATTGCGATATGTTCAGCTTACGAGTCATTTTTCGGCCAATGCGACGCGGCTTTCGATCAAGTCGCTTCTTTACATTTCGAATCATATCTGCTGATGTTGGTGTTTTCTTCCGTTCACTTCCTTGACGTCGGGCTACGCTGCTTATACCACGGTAACGAGCGATGGTACGAGACACAAAAGATTTATTCACATTTAAATGCTGGAGTGTTCTAACGATAAACACTTGTGGGTTTCCAGCCAAATATAAAGAAATCACACTATCACGCTTGAATTCCATCACGAATAACTTTTTTTTCTGGAAAATTCTCACCAAAATGCTTTTGTACGCTTGTAAACAATATAATTTGCTTTCACTGAATAATTTTAACAGCTGTCGGACTAGTGGCTTAGAAATGACAGCAGTTTGAAGTTGGTTGCGGTTTTTTCATCTCATCCTGTAGAGTTGAACTCCTGAAATTTGGAAAAACGATTTCTATTGGACTGTATGATATAGGTAGATATGGAAAATTGTAATTATGTACTAAATGGTGCTAAATTTGGTACAAATTGGAATTGTGGTTAACCAATACCGCTTGAACTATGAAAGAGGAAATGAGATTTCTATGTGTCTGTACTAAATATGGTTCAATTGGGTTAATGGTGAACGGATAGAGCTGGAATCCCAAAATTTAATATTAAGGTCACTGTTGCGGTCCTTGGTTAGGATATGGCGGTGGTTTTGTCAATGCGTCCTAATTTGTACGAAAAGTGCTAAATTGTACTAAATGTGGTGTTGGGTCAAGGGATAGGACTGGAATCATCAAATTTGATATTGAGGACACTGTCTTTTGCTGTATGTGGATATGAAGTGGTTTTAGAAATAGTACACATTGTACGAAGAGTACAAACAATTACTATTTTGGTATTTGGTGAAGGGATAGAGCAGAAGACCTGAATTTTGATATCGATGTCACTATTGGTTTCTGTGGTTGGGAGAAGAAGGGCCGTTGTGTGTTGAGGTGGAATTACGAAATTTGGCATCGAGGTCACTGTTGTTGCCTAGAGTGGAGGGAAGGAGGTGCTTTTGGACATATGTAGTATAACTGTATGAAAAGTAGGGTAATGCATTTGGGATTGGGTCTTAAGATAGAATTGGAATTCTGATATTTGATATGGAATCCACTGTTGGTATAATGTTTTGAGAGAAGCAGTTGAATTTGGGAATGCCTATTATCCTTTTTGGCATCGAACTGGTGCAGCTGAAAAGTTAGTACGATGTGTAATGTTTTCTTTGGCAATTTTGTCCAAAAAATAATGAACAAATTTTAAAAATCAACAGAAAATCGACATCTAGAGTCTTAGTTGAGAACAAATCTTTCTGATTTTTAAATAGAGATCTAACACAAGTATGATATTTTGAGTTATCTGTAAAGAGTTCACGGACGTTCAATTACAATACATTTCGTAGCCATTTCGAGGGGGACCTAGTCAAAAAAAAAAAAAGAAAACTTTTCGATATAAAATTTATATGCTAAGTAATATGTTTGTATGGTCTTGTAGGCCTAGTATTACTAAAATGAATATGAATAAATAAATAAAATGTACAAACAATGCAGAGTAATAACCATCTCAAAGGGGACCCGGGTCCTAGGGCCACACCCTACGTACATTTATGTAATATTATAAGTTTTCTATACAAGTTGTTTTGTCTACTCTTCAACTACTTTTTATGCCAAACCACTGTTCATTTCATGTTTGTGTCTAAAAAAATGCAACAAATGTCAATAGTGCATGTTTCGGATGTAAACCTGTTTTCAATTTCCTCATGTTTAGGTTACCATACATGCGAACGTGTTTCTCCTCGAATGTTAAGAAATTAACCAAATGTTAGATATAGCGGTTTTACAACAAATTCTAATATGTTTACGTGTTCAATATTTCAATAAGCCATCTTTATCAGTTCTCCAACATAACCTGGTATTTTTTGAATAGTATCTTTAAAAAATCGAAAAAACAACATTTTCATACACAACTCAATCGAATCAGTCAGCAGCAACAGCATAACTTTTAAGTTTCACTTTCAAACTCCAAACATGAGCACAAAGTGAGTGAGAGAGAGAGAAAGAAACAAAATTCGAGACACGTCATGATTCTTGAACACGTTGTCTTTTATTTCCATAAATAAATAAGAGAAGTAGAGTATGTTAAACAACAATTACGGTACATATTGTGTTATTGTTAAGACCGGCATTTATTTGATGTCTTGCGAATGAATTAAACAACAGGTAAAACGAACGAATGAAGAAAATAAAAATACATTTGTATATGTGGGTTAATTGTTATTAAATTTATTTTGTTAATGTCTTTCAAGTTAAGCCATCTTCCATCTGTCTCTTAAGGGTGATTTGAAGAGAAATGCTCTCAGCTTCTATGGTTTCATAACCAAATCAAAGTTTACTCTTAGTGAATTACGTCTTATCACCATTTGATAGTAATATTGTATTGGCAGAATATTGCCACGGTTGTTTAAATTACTTAAATGAGAACTAGATGCTGACATTATCAATAAAACAAATGCTACTTGTGTATGGAAAAGATAAGATTTAGGGCATACCTTCCAATAAATTTTTAGGTATTTCCCTTAAAACAGAAATTAAATTTAAAGCTTTTGTTTTAATGTTGCTTTACACAATTATATTTAAATTCATACAAAACCTACCCTTTTTCAATTACAAACAATAACCTTATCAATGACATTCTCAAAATATTGTAACCTATGAAAGTCATGGCAATTGACATAGATCATGTTTATGTACCCACTTCTTGTAAAAATTCACCTTGAATTTGGTTAACCGATAACAAATGATAGTACGAACCGTTCCTCATGCATGTAACTGACTACACGGTAAAGGTCGAAAAGCTTGTATTGATGTTTGTTTGCGTGTGTTCGGTACGACGAATCGCTTGTGGAAATACCATTGAACTCAGATAACCGTTGTTTTGTGTCTACTTATGATTGTTTAAAATTGAAAATTGTCTATGAATCTTAGATAACCAATGTTATTCAATGACTTGGCTGGTTCCCATTAAAAATTTAAAGATTTCGATATGTATGGTTTCAATTTGTTTCGCATCATTTATTGTTTGGAGACGTGTGTTGGAAAAGAGTTCATGATAGTTGCCTCATTTTTTGTGAACCATGGACAAGGTAAACAATCGACAATTTTTGTTTAAGAAAACAATTTTTCGGGTCTACTGTGATAACTATTTAAGAGAGTGTAATTCGTTATTCCCGCGAAAATAATATAAAGAATATTAAATACTACATTAAGTAATGGATGGAGAGTGTTACTTAGTCATTTACAAGAACTAACTGTGGAGTTGTTATTATATTGAGATGTGCAAAATGCTGTTGATCTTTATTGGTCATTTTATCGTTCAAACCGTAATGCGCTGAATTATAGCCTACAATGTGCAAAGCCACGGCTTAAATACCCTAAATCAAGACCGTTATGTGGCAGTTATATTAAAATATGGATCCACTTTGCATGCAATCTCTAGAAGGCATCCTATCGACTTCAAACCAGGAATAGAAGATCATCAAAACTTGTGTGAAACTTATTTTTCGATGATGTATTTGAGTTGTTACAAAGGTTGAAGATAGACGTGTTGATGTAAGACTCGTGCCTTTTGAGAATGATGCATGTGCAAACAAAGCAATTGATGAGTTTATGCCCAATTTTACGTTGTGCTTTTCTATGGGCTATAACTTAGGTCAAGATGAGAACAGGTCACACTGTAAACCCATCTGACTACCAGTTTTGCTGTAAAAGACGTTATTACATTTAAAGTGATAAATTTTTGTTAGGCACCAAAAAATATTCATTGTGAAAAAACTTTATTAGTTTTTTAATTGGGTCCGCGAATGTAATCGAAGATACGAAACCTATTGAAATTGGTGATAATTGGATCAGATTTAGATGTAGCTCCCATATATATCTTTAACCGATTTCGGATTAATTGTGCACCAAATGGCCAATATAAGTCCAAATGACCTGAATTTTGGCACATCCAACCTAATTCAGGCTAGAAGCAAGTACATCAAATTTGGTGAAAATCGGTTCAGATATAGCTACAGCTCCCATATATATGTTTCATCCGATTTGGTGTTTAAGTCCCTCTCATTCGTAATATGCATTCGACAACAATGATATTTGGTACCAGATATCTTATAGAGCTCGAAAATACCTTTACTAAATTTCATCGAGATCGGCTAAGATTTAGATATAGCTTCCATATAATATCAGCCCAAATGGGGTGAATTTCGGGATGTACGTTTCCATTTTGTGGAACTTGCCTCCGATATATATTTATTCAATATAAACCTTCTCGAAGTGATATCCTGCACTCTATAACAATCTTATTAGGTATAAAAGATTAAAATGTCTCCGTCAAATTTAGTGAAAGTCGATTCAGAATTGGATATGCCTCCCATACATTAGTTTCCTCCGAAACAAAATGTAACTGCTCTAAATCCAAATGTTGATAGGTGGTATGATCTACTTCAAATAATTTATTTTGTTACGGGAACTCTACTAAATATGCATATTGGTTTAGGGTATCATATAGTTGATTTTTGATGAATGGGCTCTCGGAAAGTTGGCCCCATATCCCTTTTTTTCATCGAAGTGATGATCTGGTAGAAGCATTGTAAAAGCTACCAATGCATCCAGAAAAGTCAGAGACTGGTTCGGTTTATGGGCTAGTGGCATCATTGGACCCTACTTCTTTAAGGACACTGCGAGTCATTACTTAACTGGTAATAGTGATTGCTACAGTGAGATGATATCAAGCTTTTTGCCAAAACAACAGGAGTATGACATGAAGTCAAAATAAGGCGGTGCTACATGCCGCACAGCACGCTTAACAATGGCGAGTTCGGTTATCATATTAATTCTCATTCAGGACCAGTCAATTGTCCGCCTAGAGCGTGTGTTTTATCGCCTTTAGACTATTTTGTTGTGGGGCTATATTAAGCTTAATGTCTACACAAAGGAGCGCGCTTCAACGGAAATGTAGGAAAAAGTATGTCAAAATTGGTCAACATTTGCCTGAAACAATCTTCAAACATTAAATTATATGAACCGTACTAGCAATTCAAATTTTTATAAAGTTTATGTGTTTGTTTTATTTGGCTTTAAAAAACTTCCTCATAGCTCTTAAAAATCACCCATACATACCTAATATCAAATTTTCTTATTTCAGGTCATTCGACGCGGTAAAAACATCCTGCCCACAGTAGCCCGTCTATGTTTGATAGCTACATTTTTCGAAGATGGTCTTCGTATGTACTTCCAATGGAATGAACAACGCGAATACATGGACATGAGTTGGGGTTGTGGCAAATTTTTGGCTACTGTATTTGTATTAGTTAACTTAATTGGACAACTGGGAGGCTGTGTTATGGTCATTGCTAGATTTAAGGTTGACATTGCTGTTGGTATTCTGTTCTTCATCGTAGTTCTGCAGGTAAGTCAATGTTAAAAATTGAATATTTGAACAATTAAAAGTTTAATGTAAATGCCTATTCTTTTTAGACAATTGCCTACTCCATTCTTTGGGATATTCAATTCTTGCTGCGCAATTTAGCTTTAATTGGTGCACTTCTCTTGGTTTTGGCAGAGTCGCGCGTCGAAGGACGAAGCCTTTTCGCCGGTGTGCCCACATTGGGTGACAATAAACCTAAAAATGTTATGCAACTCGCTGGACGTATCTTGCTTGCATTTATGTTTATTACACTGATTCGTTTTGAGCTAAGCTTTTTGCAAGTAAGTATGGTCACAGTTATTAATATACTTTCAGTGTCTTTTTATACCATCAGTAATGTGATGTAAGAGTCCGATTGTCTTCAAATTTCACACATCCCAATAATTTTATTAACCCAAGGTTGGGCGTTAAGATGGAATATATCGGACCACTCCTTCTGGAACCTCCACACACAAAAGTTCGACATTTTGAATATTCATGAAGCCCATAAAACGCGAAATAAACATCCGATTTCATTTAGACTTGGCACATATGAATATATCTATCAACACAGGATATGTAATAAAGGCGGTAGAAATCGGACCATTACTTCTGGTACCTCCACCACAAAGGGTTAAAGTTTTGAATAAATTGGATATAAATGTTCGATCTGTATTAGATGATGTATGAAAACGGAATACTTCGGTGTTACACCAAAAAAATATTTTAATTAATCGTACATTGGCTGAGGGTATTCATCTGTCGGCTAAACCGACAAATACTTTTTAACTTGTTTTTGTGCATTATAATATATATTTTATATTTGTATTTTTTCAGATTCTTCAAGACATTGTGGGCTCAATCTTGATGGTTTTGGTAACAATTGGTTACAAAACAAAATTGTCCGCCCTGATTTTGGTTGCCCTCTTGACTATCTTAAATTTGTACCATAACGCGTGGTGGACCATTCCTTCATACAAGCCTCTCAGAGATTTTCTTAAATATGACTTCTTCCAGGTAAGAAAATTAAAGACATAAAACTGCTACCGTAACAAACTTTTAAATATTACAAAAACAATTTTTTTGCAGACCCTATCGGTTATTGGTGGTTTATTGATGATTGTATCATTGGGCCCCGGTGGTGTATCTATGGACGAACACAAAAAGAAATGGTAGACGACAAAGTGAAAGATGTTCAATGAAAGCCTCAACCACCATGTGCATCATCCATAAAATTCTTCTTTATTTTGTACCATTTATTAATATACTTTTAATTGGTTTGTGAACTTTATATTTATAAAGAAGATACGAAGAGGAAGACAAAACTTATAAACACGACGAAAAAATTCACTCAGTTTTTATATTTTTTAAATAATTTAATTGTATTCTGTTGTGTTTGTATTTGTTTTAAAATTTGACCTAAAACTGTTAAGCGAAAAAATAAAATCTACAAATTATTTAATTTTTTTTACAAAACAAACCATAAAATGGGAATAAAATTCAATAAAAAAGGATATGAAATTGTTAAAATACAAAAACAACAAATTTATACAAATTATTTGTGTGGCACAAAAACCAACAATATTTTCTAAACAAACTCCCCTTCTACCCTATGACAAACAAATATTTAAGCGATTGTAAATTGCTCATTTTCAACCTAAAACACATCCTTATCATTTTTTAAAGTGCTTTTATTACAACACTAGGTATATTACGTTTTCATTTCCTTTGAAACATCTGTCCACTTCTATCATTTGTACTTTTTCTGTGTGTTATAGTTTGTTCCATACTATGTATATTCCTAGTAGTAATTTTAAGAAATAATAAAAAGAAAACACAAATCCAACTTTTTATAATGCCAACTGAATGATTTATATGAAGTTTTATTTTAATATATGTGCTAAAGTACAGATAGACTGTTTAATAAGCTGGTGTTTTATTGTGTATGTTGGTGGAAGTGGGATCATATATACATTTCTGTTTAAAATTAAGATGATTTTATGTTATATGTATCTATACAGGGTGAGATAAAAAAACTGCAACAAAGTCAAACGCCATAATTTTTACATTTTTTTAATTTTATTGAATGAAAGCGCGTTCTCAGTGCGATGGTGCTGAGTCCTGTTGGAATGTTCAAGGTCTACGGCCAAAATGTTTGCCTGCCCAAGGCTTTAATACACCCTCCAGAATATTTTGGCGACAACATTCGGCATTTATTCTGTTGCCACGAGAATCGGACGGACAAAAAAAAAAACTGGAACCAACTTCAGACTACTGTCATAACAGCCGATGGTCGCTCTCCGCTCGTATTAATCAACCGTTGCTTCAGAATAAATGCCGAATATTATCGCGAAAATATTCTGGAGGGTGTATTAAGGTCTTGGGCACGCAAACATTTTGGCCACAGACCTTGGACATTTCAACAGGACTCAGCACGTGCCACCCAAGAAGCTTCCTCGCTTCATTTCCAGGCCACCAAAATCTCCGTATACCAATCCGTTGTACTATTGTGTCTGGAGTATTTTGGAAAACCAGGTTGGCACCAAAAAATACCAAAGCATCGATCACTTCAAGCAAGCGCTTCCCCGGGAATGGGCCAAAATACCGCAGAGCAACATTCGGGCAGCGTGAGACGGCTTCATTGGCCGTCATTCGTGCCAAAGGTGACAAATTCGAACAAATCTAAACTCATTCTAAAATTTGATGCTATTTCCGACTTTTTTTGCTTTCATTCAATAAATTTTAAAAAACGTAAAAATTATGGCTTTTGACTTTTTGTTGCAGTTTTTTTTTCTCGCCCGGTATTTCCACTGTTTACTGCAGCTCCCATGCAACGACTCCTTCGGATACCTCCAATTCAATAGGTCAATTCTCTGAACATGAACGTAAACGTTTTTCTAGGTATTTCGATTCCTACTTGCATGCTAAAGGGGTTATTCTTAACCTTAACCACAGAGTGGTGTGGGATAGTTATTAGCAAACATTTAGTAAAGTGGAAAACATTTGCAAAAATCTAGCAAAGATATGTTATGAATTAATTTCTGCAATTCTTATATAACAAATGATATGCTCACTATTGTCCCAACTAATTTCCATATAAAATATTAAAGCAGCTAAGCAGTTTTTCACAAAAAATGCATATGGTATAGTAATACCGATACTACCCATCCAAAACATCATATTGTATTTACATTTCACTATAACCACAGCATTGGAAATAATTCAATTTCTTTGTTTTAGGTGTATTACACATTTCATGTTATATTTATTTAAACTTTACGTGGTGATAACTCAGTGTATTTTGTTTCTCATGTGAATAAATCATTTATTATTAACCAAAACATGATGGCAATTTGCAGTCAATGTTTGGCATAGAATTTTTTCGAATTTGGAATTCGTTTAAAATTATATTTATGGATTTTTGTTTCGAATTACATTATGCCTAAGGCTGGCTAGTAGCAGCAAAATTGGATGTTTAATCCAAGGCAGCAGCACCGGAGATAATTTCAATCAATTCACGGGTAATGACAGCCTGTCTAGTGCGGTTGAATGTCAATGTCAACTTCTCAATCATTTCACCGGCGTTCTTGGAAGCGTTGTCCATAGCAGTCATACGAGAAGATTGCTCGGAGCAGGCACTCTCCTTCATGGTGTAGAAAATGAGAGATGCAAGGGAATATTCCAAGTAGCTCTGGATAACATCGGCATCCAAGGAATCGTAGACAGCCAACTTGTCGGATTTTTCAACTGTGTTCGAGCTGAAGATGGGCAGTGTGGTGCATTGGTACGACACAACAGACTTGAAGCGATTGTAGACGATGCTGCCCTCGGTGAAGTCGTAACCGGATTTCATAACTTCATGAGCAATGCGAGAAGCATCAATGAATGTGGGTGGCAAACGGCCAACTTCATTGGCGACAAACAAGATATCCTTGCCATAAAGACGAGACAAAATGGAACGTGACTTGTCACCAACGCAGATAATTTTGGTGTTGGAGGAATCCTTGTTCATTTCATTACGAATGAAACGGGCAACGCCGGTATGGACAGCACCGCACAAACCACGATCAGAAGTCATGGCAATGAACAACTTCTTCTGTTCAGCCTTGTCATCCGATTGGATTTCGGTCTTTTCGAAGAATTGTTGGGCACCAAGACCATAGGGGCGAGCAGCCTTCAAGTCACGTTCAGCACGCGAGTACTTGGCAGCTGATACCATCTTCATGGATTGCGTAATCTTCTGAATGTTCTTAACGGACTTCAAGCGAATGGAAATGGCTTTCAAGGTAGCCATACCACGCTGTTGTTGAGCCTGCAAAGTAGCCTCAACGGCCAAAGGGACCAATAAAGTTGCAGCACGTTGGGAAAACATTTTGTTTATCGCTCGAAGGTTCCGTGTGGTTGGCTAAAATGCAATAAAACAGTAAAATTCGTTTAATTAGGTAATTTTTCTTCCAAACAAAAAAAAAAATTGATTATGCAAAACACAGATTGAAATTTTTTTACCAGAATTTTTCACGACACGACTGACACACTGACAGAGGCTACTCTTATGTAAGTCAGATAGGTGGAATTGGCAGCGATGATATTTTGGGCATGAAATATTTGCAAAGTATCTGCTGTCAAATGTCAAGCCGGCTAACGGTGAATGTTCATTGATCTGAATTTCTTCCCCCAAAATAACAGTAAATATAATACAATATTTTTTAAATAAACGTGGAAAAAACAAACGTTATTTACTTACTAATAAATATAACTTTTATCAGTATGTTATGTTCACCAAAACTATTAATATTTACTGTCAATACTCAATACCTAATACTGCAACTGGGTATTGTACTACACCGTGAACGAATGCATAACAATGTACTTTACTATCAAAATAAAAGCAGAACGCAAAGCCGAAAATAATTGTATGAAAGACATCAGGGGATACAATTTCGAACCACGAAATATTAAACTAGGTAGTTCAAGTAGTACTTTAAAAAGCCACTTAAGAAACTGAACAAAGGAGATGAGATATTGCAAAATTGTTTACATATATACTTTATAATTCATTCTGAAGCCAGTATTGCTATTGTCTATCTAAATGTCAGAATGTTGTCAAATTGCTGTTATATTTTATATGAACATTTTGCGGTCATTGTCGATATTGGAAATCGCCATTTGCTCCATTTGAAAACCTACAAGAATCTAATATTTTTACAATTTTTTCGATATCATAAAGTCATTTTAGTTGTTTACATTCTTGCAGATCGAGAACATACCATATATCAGTATTAGAACCGATGGTACAATAATTTCCAAGGTAGGGCACAGAGGCCTGCAACGAGCATGCAAAAATTCAAGCACACTCGGTTTCTTACATGATTTTTGTTGATGCTGTCGTTTAGTTTGATCTGAATGAAATGACCGTTTTCGCTTCGGATCGAATCGAACGCTCAGTTTGAATCACTTCACTCACAATCAAACATGAGTGTTCCAGACGGTTTGATGTGTTCAGCATCATGAGTTGATCGAACACATGAATGTAAATGAGCAATCACAACCGTAATTGTCTTCTTTGAATCGAGTTCGCCCAGCGTCATTGTTTATTCAACCATTCAATCAAGTTGGGGCAGTTTATTTTGACTTTTTTAATATTTGAAATGGAAGAATATTGTGGTAGTGTGACCGAAATTGATGCAAGTAGAAACTACAAACATGTAGGTAAACAAAAAGGTCGAAGTTTGTGAAAAATCTTGACCAATATTGTAAAAAAAAATATTTAAACATTTTTAGTTTACTAAATACCAAAGATGTGTTTCTTTATTAAAAATATTAATTTTGTTTTTTTTTTTAATAAGTTACTGAAGTCTAACATACCAAAAACCCAAATAAAATAAAAAAATTGTATGATTATTAAATATAAATTGCACCAATTTCTTTAATGGGAACAGCTTTTAGTTATGAAATCCTTAGTAAAATTACAATCATGATTTCGCTCAGATTCGAACATTTGTGTTTTAATCAAATCAAATCACTCACTTAACTAGGATAAATAAAACCGATCAGACTCATCATACATGATCGACCCATTATGAAAGTTAAAGGATTTTACACGATCGCGAATAAAAAAATTAATTCCAAGGCGCTTCCAACTGCGCCTGATTAAATAAAACACGGATATTTAATTCTTTAACAATTATAACGATTCACAATTTAATGATACTCAAAATAATTAATTCACACTTTAATGATACTCAAAATAATTAATTACATAGAAGATATTAATATTTAATGAACTGTACTGGAAATAGCCAAAGCCAAGACTGCCGGTTGCCTTCCAACTTTGTTGCCTCGATGGTTCTATTGATTCCGTTCGACCAACACGCGCCAGTATGCAGGTGCTGATACTGCAGAAAGAATTTCTCATCGCTTGCAATATCGAAATTGGATCGGAAGCGCGTGTTGCAATCAAAATTAAATG